GTGATCTACCAAAGGAATTAGCAGATTAATTTATGCATGACTGAAACCAAAAACTCTTAGTCAAGGACATGAAAATAATCCAGAGGTAATGATTAATCTGTTATTAATCTAGAAATTACTTTATGATTTAATATTGCAAGTGTGTATATGAACCAGATTCCATGCTTAGCCTAGTACATGTCTGCGCTTTCCTTTATTTCGCTTTCAAATTTTTCACTGTCAAAAAACTTGTATGGTGTTCCAGCATCCACTTCTCAACAGTAATATACAGTGACATTCACACACACATCACCAACACACAACATTTGTTTTTTTCAATAAAGCAAGAATTTTCACTTACAAAAAAACCCACAAATTCACATTTCATTCACATTAGTCAGATACATCAAGACCAATGTTTTCCTGTAATTTAAAAACTAAATGTATAAGTCGTATAAATCTCGGAAGACAAACAGAATGCTCAAAATATCACCTCCTGCTAGCAATTAAAGCAATTCAGCATGTTCCCAAGACAAAAGCAGCAATACATATATATGTGTATATGCATGCACATATAAAAAAATTTGAATCTATCAATCTCCAACCTATTCTCAGCAAGTTTTTATTTCTTGTACTTCACCATAAAACATAAAGACTATATTTCTTAAGCAAAACAATTAACTAAATCTAGACTTCCTCTGTTGTGCAGAAGTATGACAAGCTAAAATCCTACTTAATGAGCAAGCAGAAAATAAAGAACTAAAATCTGAAGAAATTCAAATATGACAGATAGATGTTAATTTGTTGCTGTGGATGTTCATCTATGAAGGAAATTCCATTTACATATGCACCACCTTGTAACCAGAATTTGGAATTTAATAGACCGCTTGCAATCTTTTCCAAAATGTGAAAAGAAAGCTAATTAATTTTCCTGGATTATTGCAAATCTGAGATATTAAATTTATAGGAAATTTTAAATTCTCTATCTGTATTTAGTTACATAGAGTCATATTTTGAGTTTTGTTGGATCTAAGATGTCCTTAACCCATTGTTCTGAAAGCTAAATCTTAAGAGCAGCAACACAAATATTTCTTATTTTTCTATTCATGAACTTGGATTGAAATGAACACTTCTTTCCTAACACCATTCCTACATAACCAGGCAATGTTCTTAAATTACTCCTTTGAAGGCTGATTGCCTTTATAAAAGTACATTGCTTTCTGGCACCACAACTCCACCAAGAGTTCCCTGCTAAGCTAAATCAGTCTCCTGACACATTTACTTTTTCTCCTGAGTATTAGGACAAACCTTTGTGAACTTGGAAGATCCTGTACTTCAAGACCTGCCAGCTTTGGTGAACTCCTTTGTTTACCAGTCAGAGCTGCCTCCCATGGGATCCTACCCAACAGTTCCCTGACTAAGCCAACATTCTGCTTTCCTTAGGTTCAGGGTCTGTACTCTGCTGCTTGTTTTTCTCACTTCCTTCAGGACCACAAACACCACTATTTCAAAGTTACTACAGACAAGGAAATTATTCATCATCACTTCCCCAAGTAGTTTCTTTCATATTAGTCAACAGCAGATCCAGCTATGCGTCACCACTAGTTAGTCCATTTAATACCTACAGCAGGAAATTATTCCTGAAACCCTCCAGAAATCTCTTTGATTGCAGCAGCCATGCTGCCCTTCTAGCAGCTGTACAGTCAGTCCCCCATGAGAACCAGGGTCTACAACCCAGAGACTTGAGTTCTTTAAACACTTTATTTGCTTCATTGGGTGGTCTGTAACAAAACCCTACCACAATGTCACCCTTACTGGCCTCTCTGATCCGGAGCCTCAAGTCTGACTATCACCCATCCTGGAGGAGAGCTCAAAAGATCTGAGCTGCTCAAAAGATCTGAGGGCAACTTCCATCCCCTCAGCCCTTCCTTGCCAGTCTTTCCTGAAGTCCTTCACAGTACTCCAGTTGCATGAGCGTAGCACAGTATCTTAATTGCTCCAACAACATTGTAGTTCTGTAATCACATACAGCTCTAATTCTTCCTGCTTGTTTCCCAGGATGCGTGCATTTCTGTGCCAACACTTGAGGCAGGTGTCCCTTCACCTTGTTTTATCATTCCTGAAGTCTTTCTTGCTCCTATCAACCTGCACCCTGAGCTTTCCACCCCTGACCACTACTTCTTCACTTTACTGTGGTCTGTAATTGTGATGGTGCATTCCTTCCCCCCCCTTCTCCTGGGCCGCTTGTTGATCTGGGCTGCTTATTGACCTCAGAAATTCCCGTGAAACCTTGGCCTTGTTGTACTGAGTCTGGTGGTTGAGCGCTCCTTGTCTGTATCGGCAACTCTGCATAACTGAGGCTAGGAACATACCCCTACTGCCTGGCCCAGGCGTCATCCCTTGATACCTTTATCTGAGTCATAGCTCAAGTGGAACAACACTGAAACCTTGAGAATTTTTAGTAACTACCACCTGAGACTGTGGCCAGGATGGAAATTTACGGATTACTACAGCCAATCATTTTGCGAACCTATAAACAGTGGTCCTAAGTGAGGCCCTTTGAGCTCTCCTGGACCGCAGTGGGCTGCATCCAGAATATCTCTCTGAGTGGGACACCTCTCAGAGCTCATGACCTCTCAGGTCTGTGATATTCGGAGAACCATCGCCGAAAGCTGATGATGGGACCTGGGCTGAAACCCTTCACTCCTCGAGGCTCAACTCTCAGCTGTTGGGAAATGCCAAGACATTTGATGTGAATATTTCTTCACTGAACTCGAGGGGAATATTTAGCAGGTACCTTTTGTTCATTTATATATATTTCTCTGTGTGCGTGTGTGTGTGTGTGAACTAATAGTGAGCATAATCTGTAATTAAGTCATTGTTGGAATTGTAGTAGACTCTACTAACTTACTCTGGAAATGTTAAATTAGTTAATGATTAAGTGCTGCTAAAATCTTGTGATCCACCTTAAAACTGTGAATGAACATCAGAGTGCCACTAAACACATATAATCCCCTAGACATAAACCGTTGACCAAGTCTGGGACTAAGGGTAGATCCCGACAGTTCTACTCTGAACCTCATGACTCAATGGGAGGGTCTCCTTATCCTTTTTGTATTAGACATAAACTGTTGTCCAAGTCTGAGACTAAGATTGCGTACAGCTGGGTCTTCTCTGAACCTTGTGACTCAACAGGAGGGTCTCCCTTAACCTTTTTGTCCTTGGCATTTATATAAATCATTCCAACTCAATTGCGATTTTACTTTGTATACTTCATCCACGTAGTAAGTTACAGAGTGAACCTTGCCATTGAACTCTGTTAAGTTGCGCTTTTATAAATCTCTATTAAAATCACTTTCTGCTAATACCTTTGACGGTGATTCTTTAAGCGGCCTCTAAACCACTCATTCGTGACAGTAATCTCCCACCCCCACCATTTTTAGTTCAAAGCTCTCCTCACTAGGTTGGCCGGATTGTTGGATCAAGGAGACAACACCTGGGCCCCCGTGACCTCAACCCCAGAACTGTGTGGTCATTCCCAGTATGCCCCCGCTGGTGCCCATGTGGATGAGCAGCAGGGAACAGTAGTAGTCTAAGGACTGGACAGACCTTGGCAATCTCTCTGCAATGTTCTGGATCCAAGCCCACAGCAAGCCACATAACCCTCAAAAAGGCAAGTGGGGGACACAGAGGTTTCTTTCCCCACAAGAGGAAGTCTCCTACTACTGCCACTCACTGCTTCCTCCTGATGTTAATGCATGGTTCAGGTTAAAGCTGGCTCTGATACCTCCCCAGTCACGGCTTTCTTCTCCTACTCTGCTACCAAGCTTTTGAACCTATTCTGCAACTGCAGATCTGCATGTGGAAAAAGAGCCATCCTCCAGTTGCTGGAGATCATAAGTTTTCAGCCTTCCTACTATGGGACTCTATTTACCTCGCAACTGATTGCAGTCTCTGAGAGCCCCTCCTGTGTGGCCCAGGCTCTCTTACCTATGGGGACCCTGTGAAGATCCTGTTAGTCTCCTCTTTACTATCCCTGAGCCTGCTCATCCTGCTCACTTCCTCCTGCAGCTCAAACCTTTTCCTCAACCAGCATACCCCTCTTGTAGGCATGGACACCTCTTTCCCCTGTCCCAGCCTCAAGGGAAAGTATCAGGCACTGCCTGCAGCCCAAGGCCTGGGGACCTGCATCCTCCCTCAGCATCTCTGAGCTGAAGTCTCTACTATGCCAGCAGCAGCAGCCCCAGTTCTTGCTGGGTACCACGCCCCAGGATGTGCCACTACTGTTGCTGGTGTGTCTCATGCTGCCATCAGCATGTTTTCAACCCCCTCCCACATGCAAACTGCTGGACAAGCCACCGCTCCCCACAGACACAGCCTGGGACCTGTGTGCTGGACCTGGCAGTTACACAGCTCTCCCCCAGTGCCACCTGAATGGGCACTCGGCTCTCCCTTACCAGGATTCACCTCTCTTGGCCTCAGCCTAGATTTCAGGATGCCCCCACCGCTTCTGAGGACACCACCCCCCTCCTTGCCAGGCTGCCACCCCCACCATGCCCACTTGCTAGCCCGGAGGCAACGTCCTCATGGTGGCAGGGCTTCCCCACATAACCTTTTGCCCCACATGGGCCCCTTCGGCCCAAACACAAGCCCAGCTAGACCCTGACCATAGCTCGCTGTACATCAGGGCCACCACCCTCATCACACTTGGGGACAGGGCACCAGCAGCTGCCTCCTCCAGCCAGTCCCTTCCTGCGAGACTACGGAGCCACCCCAGTGCCACCCTCGCAGCTCCCCAGCACCGGTACTGCCATGGCAGTGCATGGTGGCTGTGCTGGAGCTGTGGCTTCTCCACACACTCTTGGCAGGTCCCCAGGCTACAGAGATAAATAGTTGATAAATGGTTGATTTATCACTTTCATAAACGCTAGATATGATTTTACTCTTAGTTACAACACAAGAAATCAGAAGTCTCAATTTTGTTTCTTACTCCATGTGATAATCATGTACTGCTAACATACCTGTTTCAGTTTTTCCAGCTTGGTTTGTCTCAGTTCTTCATACTTCCATTTCCAAAGAAATAATTCATTTTCTATCTTTTCCATTTCTTTTTCCAGAAATACATTCATTCTGAAAAAGTATTTTAAAAGTCAGCATTACATCTTTTTGAAGTTGACAACAGCCAAATTACTTTGAATTTCCTTTTCATAGCTTCAGTTATACTTTGCTGCCTTTGTAAACGGTATATCTGGTTTTTATTAAAAACCTATATTATCATCATATAATTATTCCAAGAGATTTACCAAAAATAATAGCTGAAGAGTAGTATAGAATTAAAATTTTAAATGAAATAAATTTTTGGGATAAACTGAATCTACTTTGATGTAAAAAAAAAAATTAAAATTTGTATATTTCATGTTTCAAAAAATAATTGCTCTTGAAAGAAAATGCTAGAAGAATTTTAGGAAAATGGATTGTTTAGCTTAGAGGTACTACACCCTCATTAAGCACTTGCCTCTGGAATGCTATTTGAGCATAAAGTCCATTACTACATTCAGGAAAAAATATTTAGGATACACAATTCACAAAGAACAAATGATGATTCCTTGGAGAAAGGTACTGTATTACCGAAACAATGAACTTTGATATTTACTTTTACCCCTCTTCTAACCAATTAAAATATTTTCAGTCATTCAGCAAATAATGAAAGATCTATGAAGCAGCAGAGGCACTAGAGATGTTCTTGTCTTTGAGACCAATTAAAACTCATTTCTATGTTCACAGGAAACACTATTAGCCAAGTTCCAAAGACAAAAACGAACTTCTCATAATTTCATTTTGTATTTCTGTAATGCATATGTATAATTTTGCAGTTTTGCAACAAAATAGAATTTGAAACATAATTAAAAGTGAAAGAAAAAATTTCTTAATTACAAATAAAAGCTTTCCAATTATATTTCTAACATTTCTATGAAATTGAATCATAGTTTAAAATTCTGGAATATTCCATTGGCTATAAACATAAATATAGGAATAAAGCCTATAAAGTCAGAACGCTGAAGGAATCTAAAATCTGAAAAACAGTAAAACCGCATAAGTACTATTACATTGGGAGATGAAAATTTTACATTATATAAATTCTGTGAAAATGGAGGGATGAAGGGCTACTATACCAGAAAAGGGAAACATATTGAAAAAGTTGAAAAGAAAATTTTAATATTGGCAATCTTAAATTGTTATTTTCTATTCTGAGGCTAATGGAATTTGTCAAACTTTTTACTAAAGATATTATTGCCAGACTGACTATAACTACATTCTGAGAATATTTGGTTTAAAATTCATCTTCCATAACAGCATTGTTAACTTTAAGGAATTAAAGCAAAGGGTATTGATGAGATTTGTCTGGGGCATGTCTATGCAGCATACTGCAGGCTTGCACAGACATACCAAGAGTTACCACTGACTGGTCTGGCTCAGGTCCTGGAAGCAATATTATTTACATTAATGAAGCAATCCACTTGAGTGAAGTATATTCTTGTTCTCTCTTCTTTTACAACTAACCCTAATGCTCTTGAACCAGGGATCTCCTTTTTCTGCACAGATACAGCACAGTTTATCTTAGTAAACACCTATGGCTCCTGTAACATTATAGTAATATAATAAACACCATCACTCACAAAGTAAAGTGGAGCAAGATTACTTCTGTCATATAGAAAGAACCTAAGACATGCATTTCAACTGAATTGTTTTTCTTCTAAAGTAATGGGATATCTCAGTGGAACGGTATCATGACTTCATTGGGGAACTAAAAGAATTGTTAAGAGGGATGTTTAATACAGTAGAAAGTGAAAGCATGAAAGATGACAGTTTAATACTTTGAACAATAGTGTATTGACTGTACTGAATGCATTGAAAGTCCTTAGAAAAGGTCTAATCTGAAAAGTAAAAGAGGAATGTTCAGTATGTGGTGCTCACTTAGAAGATACTACTTTTATTTTGTGTTACAGTACCACTTAAGTGAGATCAGGTCCCTCTGATGCTACTAAATGAAATAGGTGATCCTGACTACATGAAGTTTACTATTTAAATAAAGAAAACAGAGAATGGAAGAAAGAATACAGCAGAGATTGGTGAAGCAGCTTACTACTACTAAAACAAAAGATCAAGATCAGAGCATTTTTAATGGATCTTTTAACCACCTATTTTAACTCCTTATTATCTAATTAAATCACAGAATTACACAGAATGGTTGAGGTTGGAAGGGACTTCTGGAGGCCATCTGGTGCAACCTCCCTGCTCAAGCAGGGTCACCTAGAGCTGGTTGCCCAGGACCATGTCCAGGCGGCTTTTGAATGTCTCCAAGGATGCAAACTCAGCAACCTGTCTGGGCAACTTTCAGACAGAGACTCCTGTGTCCATTGCCTCAGTCTACCCATCCAGCCCTAAGCAATTCCTCTTCGATATTATCAGCTACCAGTGTAGTTGGTTTTAGACCAAAGAAACACTTTTAAGTTCATTATGGAACAAATTAAGATCTTGAAACTAGAAGACATTTAGATGAGAACACTGATCCAAAAGATAACTAAAGATAGCTGTTTTGGGCAAATGATTCTTTAAAGGCTGAACAATCATAAGGTCTTTAATTCCCATTCACGTCAATGGGACCTCAAATGTGTATTTGATATGAGCCATAGTGCCTAGTAGAGGATTTTGGTGTGATTTTACATTGTAAACCCAACCCTGAAGTTCTTTGAAAGTCAAAACAAACTTTGAGCTCCTTTTTTTTTTTTTTTTTTTTTTAAGAGCTCCTTTCTTTTTATATTTTGCAAAGCCTGATCCATGGCTTAAGGGTATATTGGCATTACTGAAGATAGCTCTAAACAGAATGCAAGAAGCATAGGTCCTCTCAGGGTGAAGAAGCAAAACATCTTATGGAGAGATTAGTTAGGTAACTAAGGGCAAGTCCAAACACTGGATCTGCATGAGCTAACTTGACTCTGGAAAGAATGTGGACACAGTTTGGGAGTACTGCATGTAAACCGGAAAACTCTACTGAGAAGTCCTGTGCTATATGAGTAAGACCATACTGACTGCCAAGGTAACCTTTGGCCTTGGGGTTCAAGCTGTCTGTGATCCAAGCTTGCTTTTGATGCAGCACAGCTGTGTGTCCTTGGCTCAAGTTTACTGAGAAAATTGCTAAGTTGTGAGAAAGAAGCTGTGGGAAAGTACTTAAGCTAGAGCCATGCAGGATAAGAAAAGTAAAAATGCAAACAGGGGTGAGATTGTTGAGATAGTAATTATTAGCAGCTCCAGAATCCAGGAGCAAAAATACTGACATGAACAAGTATAAAACCCTAAGAGTAAAAACTGGGAATCTGAAGATTGAAACTCAGCAAAATAAGCCCATTCCAGCAAGCAGTGCAGACCAACCCTTTCTGAGCTGGCAGATGATAGCCTGTCCAACAAAGACTTCTAGCATGTCTCAATAGACTGGTGACTATGTTAATGCTTATCCTAGTAACATTATTCCTAGCTATTTATTGCGTGCATTGCCAAAAATAATTGCTTCATACTTTTAAGTTGCATATATTCTGCAACCTCTTTGCACACGGGCAATGTTGTCCGAAGTGACCTAGAGAGGGAGTTGTTACACCAATGCCTGCTGTTATGTGGAAATCAATGCTCTGTGAGCATTTGCTGCCTGAGGTTGGCACTGCCATATGTTGCACAGCATAGACATGCCCCAGTTCTTACCATGTGCCAGTAAATTTATTAGCGTATACCATAGTCAGTATACATCTAGGGATAAATGCCAAAATCTGTCTCTCTGAGACAGACAAATTGGCTAGAGAAGCACGTGAACAAACCAACCAAAACCAGGAGGTAGAACCAGGGTTTATTAAAATTTTGTCTAAGAAGTGATAAAAAATAAGAGTTGAAAAATTATCACCTTTCTAAAAGGAAAGTTTTATATATGCATGTATATATACTGTGATTGCTGTTGAAAAATGAAGTACCTAGGACCCTAAAAATTCTAACCAGAGGAGAATGGTGTGAGGCATCAGTCTCTTAACTCACATGAAATACCATGACAAACTGGAAAAATGAGGCATTCTGGGATTTTTGCTTCCACAAAACACTAAATCCTTTTTAATGAGATAAAACATACTTCTGGTCATCTGCTGCAATATGATTCAAATAAATAATTATTGTATGTTTTCTACAACTATCTAATTCATATAACAGAACACAGTAAATACTAGTTAGGAATGTAAAGGATTTTTTTTTTTTTTTTTTACTCAGACTTGTACTATCTACAGGTCAATTGTGTAAAAAACTGACAGGAAAGAAATTCTTCATCATAGCTTACCATTACAGACTCTCTGAACTGAAACTGTTGAATGTATTTGCAACAGAGGGGGCATTTTCTTCCTTTTCATTTTCTAATTAACTTCATCTGGTTTTGAAGTTACAGTCACATAGTGCCTGAAGTCTCCTACTACATCCATCATACATCACATACGCCGTGTTTCCTTGGAAAGCCTTTTTGATGTGATTCAATCTTGCTCAATACTGATCATCTATACGAAATATCAAGGAATTCCTACCAACACAGAGACTCACATGCTAGCATATAGTGTGTAATCAACATGTGACTTCTTTTAGGCCACCAAAATGCACATTTAGTATTTATGCAAGGTAAATTTGATATGATACAATAAGTGTACAATATGTGTGTTATTCTCTGTTATCTTCTTTTGACATAGGCCTTACTACAAGTGAAGAGGTTAAGATTAACAGCATTTTGCAGCTCTATTCATGTACTTTTAATTCAAAAACATCCTTAGTCATTCTGCAGTTGGACTCTTTCAAAGTCTCCTGATAGAGTATATGAACATTTATTATGCACAAAGCACTCCAATAACTGAGCATAACACACAATAGATACCACTGCATTGATACCAAATTGGTAGTAAGTATAATTTTTTAATTAACTGTACATTCTTAACACTTCTGCATGGAGCACTTCTTACTTAAATGACAGACAAGCCAAGGAAAACAATAAACTCACTATGCTGAATCTTTTCTCTAAATTCTTATCAAAGCCTTGTAAATATCAATTAATAAAACTTAGAAATGAGCACATATGAGCTATAAATGAAAATATCACCATATCTATTTTAGAAAGTGTCTTAAAAACCTTTGTTTTTAATACAGATTTCCCCAAGTAGGATGTATTTTGCACTTACTCTCTTTCCTTCTGTAAGATTTTCTGCATCTCAGCCAAATGCAAATGCAAGACTGAAACATGTATTAAATCATTCTCTGTTGTCTTAGCTGTACTGTCCAAACTTTTTTTAGGTTCCTCCAAATAGATGCTGGGAACTCCATTGGGAAAGGAATCAGGAGGCTTTGGAGTGATTTTTTTATTATGATTGCTTTGGTCTTTGATTACCTCTGCATCCTGAGAAGACAAAAATAAGACATCCGAGAAAAATATAAATGAAGGGAAAAGTCTAACATAACTTCTGCAGGGCCCACCAAGGCTCTTCTAGACATTTAAATCATCTAGGAGAAAAAAGAGAATAACATCTTACACAGTTGCGCTATATGTGGATAGAATGTGCAAAAGTCATTGTAGTTGGATCACTGTCATTTTGTGACGTCTCACACCTTCTGTTATGACAAGCCTCATATCTAAAATATTTCTAATCTATCTTTACTAAAGAAATAGATTCCAGTTATCATTAGTTGGCTATAACTATGGTGAAGACAGAATCCTGTAACTAACAAAACCAGGAGTGCAATTTATGCGTACAAATAATATATTGAGAAACTATAAGAACTTTTAAACTTCTAATGTAAACCATGTTGAAGCAGGTGATGGACTTATAAAAGTTTTGTATAAGGACCAAAGTTACCTGCATAACATACCAATTTGAATCCCATTCAGAAACTAAAAGCACCATAATATCTATTTTGAAGGTACATGTTTTGCATACAAAACATAAGCAAAACTAGAAACAATTAGAAAAAATCATTAAAAAAATAAAATACATCTTTATTAGGAAGACTGAACATCTCTTATAAACAATAGCTTCCTTTAGAAATGTATTGACGTTTTATCACCTCTGATGGATTGTGTTTAAAAGCTAATCTCATTTTAGCAGATTACCAGCAGTATTATTTCATACCACTCTGTTCTTCTGAGTTTTTAGAAGAATGTCTGAAATCTATATCAGAAAATACTAGAAGCTGCTAAAAAGATAGGACTGTTTTCCATTCATATATAAAGTTTCAGTTTTAAAGTAGTTCAGTATTTTATACTAAGGAGAAAGAGAAACAGTTAAAATATATTTTGTGTCATTTCCTTCCTATGGCCCATTTTTCTGCTCAAAAATATGAAAGGCATGCATTTTTTTGCCAAATTTATTCTCACTACTAACACTATGGTGGGTTTTTTTCAGAATTCACAGGAATATAATTTAATTTAGGTGCATTACAGAGTGAGTGAAAATTCTGAACGTAATACATTCAGGCCTAACATCCTGGTAATTTTCATTGAACTGAAGTAAAAAATTTCCTACATCCTACAATGTAGGAAAATTTTCCTACATCTGCAATGACTGCTATCTATCAGACAAGTAACAAGTATAGTTTTTACATGGTGCTGTCTGAGAAGACTATATAATACATGCCAAGGCACAGAATTAAGACTGGTAAAACATGAGCAAATAGTTCCATTTTGATGAATATAATTGGTTCTTTTGTATAGAACTAGGACCTGTATTAAACCATGTCCGTACTTGATTAATTCTGCATAACAATGTAATTGCTCTCCTTGCCAAATAAAAATCTTGCCACTTTGCATAAGAATTTGCCTCACCTCTTCCCTCATTTCAGAAGTTGCATTAAGGGAGAATTAAATGATTCTGTTTTAGAAGGCAGGAACCTATATTGCTTTTTTGGAGGTAAAAAAAGTACACAAAACATGGAGAATTCAGATAACAGAGGTAATCTGTTACCTTAAAACATGAGAGAGTCAGAACAATACTCTAAGTTTTTGGATGTAACAGTTTGCCTCTGTTACTTAAATGTTTAGCCGTAGTTGAAAGGTATGAACTGTTCTCCATATTTCTCTATATTAGGAATATTAGATAGGTGAAAAAAGTGGGTTTACTATTGAATGGATCAAGTAATATTTTGATCAAAATCCTTGAAAAATCCCATTTCTAGATATACATCCATAATCTCCAACTTCTTCATGAACTAAAAAAAATTCCCCCATTCTTTACCTTCTTTGTGTCTTCTGCCCCAGGAATCTTGTTGGTTTTGCTCAGTTCTTTCACAGGTTCTTGTTCCAGAAATGTTAACTGGTTTAGGTCTTTTTTAATATAAGATATGTCTAAGCAACTGAATTCTGTTTTCCAAGCAGTTACATTTTCTAATTTTTCTTTCTTGCTTACTAAATCTTGATTTATTTTTTTAAGCATACTCAGTTCTTTTACAACACTGTCTAATTTGATTCTCAATTGTCTTGCTTCCTCAAGGGCTTTATTTCTTTCTGCTCTAACTTTGCTCCATTTCTCCCTCCAGTTAGCGGTACAATCTGACCACCAGCGCATGGTCTTCTCCATTTGGGCAGCTCTGGCTTTGACTTCTTCCAGTTCCTGAATTCTTACTGCTTCAGAAATTTCCCAATCACTGCTGTAATTTGTATGCATATGTGGATGATGAGATGAATATGGGTAGAAACTTTGAGATGGCAGATTTGAATTACACAGATGGCCACCTTGTTGGCAACTTCCAGCTAATTTATAAGGTTGTCTTCGTTTGGTCCCAGAAACCTGTGCCTTTTCCGTTAGTTTCTGAATGGAGCCTAAATTCATGTTTTGATTCATAATCTAATTTCACTCCTAAAAAAGACAAAGAAAGACAATAATTTAGTTTCCCTCAATTAAATTATATGAATAACCTCAAACAGTTTATTTTACTGCTATAATAATGAGATAATCTTAATAATACTGTTGATGTTTTAGAAATGTGCTTCATCAATAAGAAATAGCTATTAAAATATATTTTATGTAATACTTTTTGAGTACAAGACATTACTTGACTAGGAATTGCTAGCAAAGCAAGTGTCATTCAGTAATCATATGCTCTCAAAAATTTTTGAGTCTAGAGAAACCAGGCAAAAGCTTTCTTCCTTCAAGACAAGATTAAATGGAATCAATATATATTTTAAATATCTAGTAAGAGGTAAGTATTTGTCTGGAACCACAATCACAGATTCACTTGCCTTCTTTCCCAAACTGTGGAATTTCATACTAGGCAAAACTTACCTTATAATTTACCTACCTAAGCAAAAACTCAAACAAACAAACAAAAAAACCCAACAACCCCCAAAAGAGACAGGCCTTTGGATTTTCTTTGTTTCATAAGAAAAATCAAGCATTTTTATAGGGGGCTTTATTTTGCTGTCTACATTCCAGAAGCTGTCCAGGAAGTATATTCTTATATTATTCTTGAAAGGGTAGCACTATCCTACTGTACTGTATAGCCTACCTCATGATGATATGAGTCTGCTAGTAAATCTTGTTGCATTCCTTTTCATTATTTATCTGGTACTACACATTCAGCCCAGAGGAAAACCAATGTCTCGGAAATTGCTTTCCCACTGAAATGCTGAAATGCTGAGAAAATATTGATGTGGACAGTCTGTAGAGACTAGTCACTTATACCTTCTTTCTTTTTCCTTTTGACTATCTTAAAAAAAAAAAAAACAACAAAACACCACTAAAATCTTGCTATACCAGTAGAATACTAAATTGTTTAAAGTAAAAAAATTACTCCCATATTCCAACATCCATCTGTAAAAAAATCATGTTTATATGTTACAGCGATCAGTATTAACACCTGTAGTTGAAATGTACAAGGCCAATGCAGTAAACAAAATACTAAAGAGTAGATAGTCTTGGCATTATGATTCAGTCACGTTTCATTTCAACTGAATAGAAATTTTTGTTTTGGAAGTTTTGGTTCCAGTTTCCCAGCTGTTTTCAACTTTTCGGTGCTTTACAGGACATTTATTTGCCATTTGTTAGAAGCTTCTGGAGAACTGTTGTAGTCAAGTATGGATATGAAAGAAGAGAAGGAAAAGGACAGTAAAGGACTCTAACTCCCTTCATTATCACTGTCTGGTGTGGCACCACCAACCCCACAACCTAACAACACTACACAGATGTAGAACAGCTGCTGCCAAAGCTTGATCAAGGTCGAGCCTTTTTCTTGTTGCCTGACCTACTCCCAGAAATTCTTGGGGAAAAAAGAAAAACCACCCTGTTACCCCATTCCAGATAAGATACATCTCTACATATTGTTTATTATATAAAGATGAACATGATGTAAAAAGACTGCCACGGAATGGATTCATAGTGTACAGCTAAGACCTATTTATTAATTCATTTATAAAGCCAAAATGATCCAACTAAATAAATAAAACAGGGAGCAGCCTAGAAAATAGGACTACATTCATTATCTCTATTTTAATTGATTTTTCAACTTTTAGAATACAGCATAAGCACATTAAGCTTCTTTGTTCACCATTTCTTAGAGATAAGTAGGGTTGACGTTGCTAATATAAAGCTCAGACACACAGACACTTGTTTCAACAAAGTACTACAGATGTCACCTAATAACACACATTATGCCTGCCCAAGGTTTTGATTTCTCCACAAACTCCTAAATTAAACTTATCTCAGGTGGAAGATAGTCAAAGGAGATTTCTTACTACTGAAGAATTATTTGTTCTTTAATCTTGAAGTAAGGTCTTCAGCAAACAGGACTTTTAAAATAGAATTGCTTAATTTGAAAAGAAAAAAAAAAAAAAAACATCAAATTGCAAAGTGATAGAAATCTGTAAAACCATTCAAGATTTGGTGGCTTTGTAGAATCATCCCTCTAATTTTTCTTATTAGTGCTTAAAATGTAATTCAAATAAATAGAGTCTTGTAGAACAGGTTGACTAAACTGAAGAACATTCTTGTCAATCTGTAGGATAAAGTTGGGGGGGGCGGAAGAGAAAAAAGCTAGAACTGCACCACAGAGCAATTCTTTTGTTCAGCAGCTAGGGTAACTTACTGAAGAAAAACTCTGACACCTATGTAGGCATGTTGTATTTATATTGGTAAAAACTATCATTTAACTGACATCTGACCATGAATAATCTTAAACATTGATGAAATAGATACAGTAGGTTAATGACTAGAAAAACAGACCTTGTCTTTGGTCTCCCCTTTCACAGAAGTCAGTCAAATAGCAAATCATCAATACACGCTTAAATTTCCCTACTTGTAAAATGAGGACAATTTACTGTTTGAAACTATTATTGAAAAACACTGCCCAAAGAATTATGCATTGTTATTGCTAGGTGTTAAAATATTTTTTTCTTTTCAAGTAGAAGGACAGCACTGAAGGGTCTACAAGTGAATCCATAACTGTTGTATTGGAAATACAGCTTTGAAATATCTTGGTGTTTCACTATGTAGAAACACATGCAAATTTTCTTTCGTCAGGTAGTCTATTTTCACCCTGCTATATGCACAAATAATTAGTAGCTTTCATTGCTTGTGGACAGATTGTCTCATTGTGTCCCCTTTGCATACAATGCAGACAATCAAATATTATCACTGAAGCACAGAGGAACTGATGAAGCCAAATTCTCAAAAATAAAAGAATGAAACGTAACTAGAGCCCATGATTCACTGAAGGCTTTTCAGATCTCTATTTCATCCATGGGATTTTTTCTATGCAATTTATCTTAGGAGTTTTATCACTTACTAAAAACAGTAGAGGTGTGAAAAGTGCAATGTTTCTTTGAAGTCCTTTAAATTTACCTTTTGTTTAGTGAGCAAGGTGCAGTGGCGGCCTCTTAATTTAAGAAATACCTTCTAATTTAACATTGTAAGTGGGAAGCATGATTCATGACTTATTCTGATTTTAATAATTTAATAATAACCTCAAGGAAAAAAAAAACAAAACAACTTAATCACACTATTGTTTTTACTTTGTTGAATTTCCATTTCATTTTATAGTGAAACATCCACAAGTCTTCTGCATACAGCCCTAGTTTAACTGGAGTAAAAGGGTGTTTTCCCATTGGCGTTAATGAAAGTAGGATTTTCCACTTTGCAGAAGTGCTGTACTTTCATGATCAGTGTAAATCAGCACAAATCCACTGCTGCTGAAAAGACAGCCCCTCCTTTCTCACACATGCATCTACATGTTCTTGACTAGGTAGTTCTTCCTCTTAGTAAAAGTAGTGAAATAATCAGATCAAAGAGATGCAACATTCACAGCTAGTAATTTTTCAGCTTCAACAATGCCCTCATATTTCACTAGTGGCTGCATGAAACCTAGTGTTTCCGCAAAACATGGCGTAGAAATCCGAGATGGAAGGAAAGTAGGACTGTCCCTTTTGACAGCATCACAGAACAGCATTCAATTTATATAGCTAGTTGAATTGCGTAAGTAATATCCAGGGAGCAACAATATATTGTACACTTAAAACACAGTATGTGACTTTTGTGAGAATATTGTATGAAACTGAAAGAGGAAAATGTATTTCAGTGATGACTAGAGCAGATTTGCCCTCCTATGGAGAAAAGGCTTGGGCAGGAACGTCTTTTCAGCTAAAGTGAGTTTTTGCCTACAAACTTCCTTTCTTGGCAAACAACTACACTGTATCATTCTTATCCATTATGGTAACCCTAACTGTCAGGTTAGTCAGCCTTTAAGGCCATGGGTGATGAAAGCAAATGAACTACCCTTTAAACTGCCACAAATCATTGTAATGGTATTTCCAAACTTCTTTTTTTTTAAATTATTTTGTAGAAAAATCCTACAATGTCTAGAATTGGACATTTTAATGTAATGTTTAAGTTTTCTGCACATATTTTTCACAACCATTTACATTTAATCAGAAGACTAATAGCTTTCCATGAGTGTTAAAACACAAGGCTGATAGCATCAAAGATGAATATTCTTACGCAGCTAGTTTAATATCCATGACTGAACAGAGCAACTCTGTTGCTAGAGTTGTAAAGCAACTCTGATAAAAATGGCAATAGGAATTCTATTTCAATTGTGAACGATTAAGACTTGTGCTTTTATCTCTTTTAAAAGAAATAGACTATAATATTAGTTTTGAAAGGAAGCAAAGATTTAAAATTAACAAAAACGTGTTGATTATTATAAAAGTACCTGAAATGGTTAGAACCTCACAGTTCCAGAAGGATGATTAGGATGGGCTTTTTTTACACTTCACATCAATCTGATCTTTCTTTTCTTCAAAAATACCGCACTGATGAAATAATCATAATTTTAAAAAAGTTTAACTGAAGACTGTTGTAATACTGAATCAGTTGATACTGAATCTTTAATCATCTCTGTAGTTACAGTGATACTTTTAAAAAAAACTTCTCTTCTCTGGTATATGACTACCTCATAGAAAAGTAATTCATGGTAAAATATCACATAGCTACATTGAACCTTGAAAACTCTCATCTATAGAGTATTGCCAATCTGTTCCAGAGAGGAACAAGAATAATTTCTAAGGCGTACGTTAAAGATAACTACGAGAAGAAAGCTATGTGTTAATATTGTTACAGAAACAGACCTCTAAACATCAGAAATGTCACAAGTCTGAAAACTGAGGAAAAAAAAATAATCTGCAGCTAGTTCTAAAGTCGCTAGCTTGAATTTGCAGCAGCAGACTAGCTAGCACAGCATATGGAGCTCAGTGAGCATAATTACTTAATAAGAGATAATTGGATGGAAAGATAAGATAAAGTTAGGGAATAGGATGAAAGTGAGGATTTTCTGTCCAGGGAAACCTCCTGAT